TACGGCGCTTTACTTAAACAAGGAGTGGTAGAGTAGTGAAACACAATAAAACGCAATATTGCTTTGTTGCGTTTTATTGTATCTGTCGACAACTAGCAGACAAAATAATATTTTATGTTTACATTTGGCATATTTGAATTGTTTGAACGAGTTTAATTTATAGTAATGAAACTATTTATTTATAGTCATTACTGCTTGCAGCTTTTCTCGCTAAGAAAAAGCCATATCTAAGTTAAATGGGATCACCAGCATTGGCGAAAACTTCCCTCCTATCCCATGATATAATCTACTTATCTGCTAAATTTTAATTCACTCCGTTCAGCACGTTAAGCTTGGTTGATTAGACCTACAAATTAGAATGTTCTCCAGATGATTTTTCTAATAAATTTTAAGATTTAGTACTTCGCCAAATTAAATCAGTTACAAAATTATATTAGTGATGGGTGTGTTAATGTTTATTTTATTAATTTCATTTTTAGTATATTGAACTATATATTATCTAAATATTATTTTTAAATAGAAAAACAAATTGTGTTCTAGGTCAAATAAGAAACTGTTCTATTAACACTGATATATAGGTATTAATCCTCGTCTTCTTTAATTCTAAGCAATGTGACCGGACAAAGGGAGAAGGATAGAGGCAGTGTCGAAGGTTCGAAAACAATATGCGCTTGTACTAAACTTTACTAAATTTCATAGTACCAACACAAGCAACCCGGGCTTGATCACCGCCAGTATTGATGGAATTGTCAATAGAAATTTTAAGTTCCCATTGACTTACCATGAGCGTACATTATAAGTACATGTCGGAGGAATAAAATATTTCGAGAACGAGGACCCGCCAACAAGCACTACATCGGCACGGAAGAGAAGGCCTACGCTGTGCCCAGGCATGGAATATGGAACGTATAATATAGAATACTTATAAATGATATTACTATACATAATATAATTTAAGGTAGTTACTTAATCAGAACCTTAGTATTTTAATTTAAATTACATCTGACTGTACTAAAAGAACTAAATCGTATAATAAAACATTAATAAGGGTCAGACACTATTTACTCCCATCATGACATTTGTCACAACTCTATAGACCTAAAACGATAATGTGACAAAAATTAAATTACCCTAAAGGGCGTAGCATCCCGTAAAATAATATTGATAATTTTACGATCATTTAAATATCTATATTCTAATTTTAAAATGAAAATTAGCTTGAGAACCTAAATGAATTTAAACCATTAGTGTTTCGTGTGCATTTAGAAGAAATAAAGGTGTTTATCTTTCGAAAGCCATTTACTTTGTTTATAGCCTTATAATCCAGAAGCCTACAATTGTCGGACCACATCTATTGTTGTATTCAAAACTAAAATGACTTATTAAATTTTTGACGGGATACGTTGTAATGAACCCGTACTCGTACAATTCAATGTTTTCACACTGAGCTACGACAGTTCACACACTATTATACTTTAGTGTAACTAAATACCGTAAAGGCCAACGAATAGCGCAGTGATCATTTCCGCTCAAGGATTATTTCAATGTGTCTATTTTTGTCGGCAACCCATTGAAACAAAATTAGTCATATATTTCCGCATTTCACTTAATCAATTTATACGTGTTTCCAAGGATGAAAAAGGGTTAATGAATTTTTTTGTTAGTGTTGTAATAGTTGGAGAAAACGGTGAAAAGCGTGGCGTATGTGCCAGATGTAAATTTATTCAGCCACGGAGAACAGCGCTAAAGTAGCTGCGAGACTTAATATTAAAATCTTTTTAAATGAATATTAAAAATAATATTAAAATCTTCTGTAAACCTACTCTGTCTAATCTACTAGACCTACCATAGGTCTCCTTTTCTAACAAACACACAAATTAAATGATGTTCTTTCGGTTGGTAGGGTATAAAGAGCTAGTATGATTACAGGCTCTATCTTGGCCCTAAGAAATGACAACGCATTTGTAGATTTCTTTGTTTGAAGTTGGCAGGTGTCCAAAAACTGCATTTTACAAAACAATAAAATGTACCACTTTTTATTGTAAACAATGTATACCAAGGAAACATAAACTTATTGTTACTAGGTTGATCAATAAGTTTTTTGAAACGCAACGAAACATATGTAAATTGTATTTATTTTTCAACGTAATCGCCATTTGAGCTAATACACCTTGAACAGCGTTTTGCAAGTTGGTTAATTCCCTTTGAAAAGAAAAAGCTTTATCTTGGAAGTCGAAAAAGGCCTCTACAGCACACATCGCCTCATCGTCACCGTCCAAATGCTTTTACAGGTGAGTAAAAAGGTGAAAACCACTCAGAGCTAGGGCCGGAAACTATGGTATGTCCTACATCAAGTGAAACCCAACAGTTCGGATGGTAGCGCCTACGACATCAAATCGATGGGCAGGGGCATTATCATCATGAAAAAGCACTCTAGCACGCAATTTTCCTCGACGTTTATTCTTTAGTTCTTAGCGAAGTTTTTTGATTAATGATGCGCAAGAATCTCCGGTTATTGTCTCTTCTTTACTTAAATAGTCGATCATTATTATACCTTCCGCATCCCAGAAGACAGAGGCCTTTATTTTTCCAGCGGACGGAGGCACCTTTAATCTCTTGGCTGGCGGGGAAGACGGTCGTTTCCTCACTTTGCTTCATTTACGGTTACGTACGAGCGCAAAAATATTCTGAATCTTCTTCAATTAATGCTGAATTTGGCTTTAAAATGTCAACTCTTGTTTCCTCTTGGGTGTCTCTTAATATTCAAGGAATCCAATGCGCGGCCACCTTTTGGAATTTTAAGGTATGACTTTGAATTGATTTGGACCAGTAGATTTTGAAAAATCACAAAAATAAAATTTTCGTAAAAAACTTTTTTGGAACAACTTTTAAACAGATGTAACGATCAATTCCAAGATTCAGTCAGCTCTTAAACACAAAAAACAACGTCGATTGCTGTAAACTACTTCAAAATCGGTTGATGCGTTAAGGAGAAATCGACGACATTTAATTTCTAAAAAGTGTTGTTCTAAATATATGTATATTCCAAAACGCTCGAAAATTATTCCTTCACAAAGTTTTGAGCTCTTCGAGACTTGGAACTTGGAATATTTAACATGGCGGTCAGTACCAGTGATGGCCTGCAGGGTCAAGAGATTTTTTTTAAATGTTTTCTTGCGTAGCGGCCGTTGTTAGACGCCCGGAGTGAGTGCCGTCATTGCAGGTGGTTCTGCCGCGTTTAAATTCAGCGCACAATTATGCCACTGTAGAATAAGACATAGCATTGTCTGCCAAAGTAGAATGCAGTTCTTCAAAAAAACTGTATGTACAATCATTTTTCAGGCAGAAATATTTAATAACCGCACAAAGTTCGAGTTCCTCCATTTTGTATACGAATCAAAATCCCGCCAAATGTTTTGAAAAAGGAAAAGTTAGGTATAGTTTTTACTTTAATTTTTTTTGGCCTTGGTTACTAACGACTTTGAGATTCGAAATAAATAGAGCGCAGTTCTATAACTCATTAATAAGTGTCCCATTCCGAAAACTTATTGATCAAACTAGTATTATGCTAATATACTCGTAGATTTTTTTATAGGATAGGGTGACAAACGAGCACACAGTCCACCTGATGGTAAGTGGTTACTGTGACCCATAGACATCTACATCTATCCTCAATAAAGAATCAAAATGGACAATCCGCAAAGACATTTAGATAACTTTAATTATGAAGGGAAAAATGGTGAAAGATTAAGAAATAGTATGCACCGTGCACAATAATAATAAAGCGTTTTCGAATTGTGATAGTCTTCTACCGATGTCCGTGACCACAAATGAAGGATAAAAATAGAGAAGTTAGAAAGACAAATGAAATGGTCCTTAAAGACTATATAATTACTATGTTTTAGTGTTCCTTGTTATAATTTTTTTTAACAAATCTAAAGATTACGTAAGTCTAACAGACTGAAGTCAGCAGTTTTAAAGCTTGACTACTAAAACAAAGAAAGAAAGATTTTAAAGAATGTTAAATGGGGAGGAGTTGAGTCTTGTGGATACCACTGTTTTTCTCGGTATTACTATAGATGCGAAACTTCAATGGGGCCCCCATATATCTAAATTAGCAAGCAGACCTAGTTCTGCAGCATATGCTGTAAGAAAGATTAGAAGTCTCACAGATGTTGAGACAGCTAGATTAGTGTATTTTAGTTACTTTCATAGCGTAATGTCTTATGGAATTTTGCTATGGGGTAATATATATATATATATATATATATTATAAAGGATATTGAAGCTATATTTGTTTTGCAAAAGACAGCCGTTCGTGCGATCTATAACCTAAATTGTAAAGAGTCCCTTCAACTTTGGCATCGCAATATATTTATGAAAATTTAATGTATGTACATAAAAACATAAATAGTTTTAATAAAAATAAGGATGTGCATAGTTTAAACACTAGGAACAAACATAAACTTGTAATGCCAGTTACTAGACTCCACAGAATCAGTAATTCATTTAAGGGGCAATGTATACGCTTTTACAATAAAATCCCAGAACATATTCAAAGTTTGTCAATAAACAAGTTTAAAAGTTTTATTAAAGAAAAACTGTACAAAAAGGGTTATTATAATGTCAAGGAATATATGAATGAAAATAACCCTTGGGAATAAGGTGATGGCCACCATGCTGGTTCTATGAAAAATCATCTAAAAATTGTATAAAAGAAATTATTGTTAAGTGAAATACGTTTGGAATAAAGTCCCGCTGGGTTTCTTGCTGCTTCTTCCCAGGACAGAGGTATTTTCCGAACCAGTGGTAAATAAAAAATGACTTACAATAAGTATTATGTAATAATCAATATTGAATAAAAATTATTCTATGCTATTCTAATAAAAAAGTAGAGAGTACACAGGAAATCGGAGGGAAAGGTTTTCCGCGGTCCGTAAGGAAAAAATCATGTTAAGAGCTAAGAAGTTTCACAAACTGATAAATACTATACTACTAACCTAATGTAGGCGATCGCTTATGTCTGTGTTGCGTATCGTGCATCTGGCGAAAGGTACCATTGACACGGTGTATAGCTAAGTCGTGAGGGGACGCGAATACTCGCCCGCCCAGGCCGAGACTGTCCAGCAAGTGCTCGAAACCCTGAAAGAGTTATAAACATATCAGTTGTGTAGTAGTCAGTTTTGTTTTTTCAATATTTAATATCTTCAAAACTAAATTATAAATTAATTTAGTTTTGATTTTTTTTAGTAGTTTTGATTAGTTAGCGCTCGCTGTAAGCTTCAGTAGAGCAACCCGGGTTCGATCCCCGCCAGCACCAATGAAATTGTTAATTGCAATTTTAAGTGCTGATTTACCACGTGCTCAGCGGTGAATGAAAACATCGTGAGGAAACCTGCATGTCTGAGAAGTAAGAAAAAAAATATTTCGACGACATGTGAAGTTCGCCAACATGCATTGGGGCAGCGCGGCATACATTTCCTTGTCCTAAAACCATACCGGACGTAAATAGGCTGCAACTTTACTTTAACTTTACTAGATGTTATAGATAAGTAATAAAATAGTTCCATTTAGAGTTGCCTGTGAATGAATTAGAGTTGCAGAGAATGCCTTGTGGCTATATAAACTCCGATATCATTGCAAAAAAAAATCATAAAATATCGAGTGATTATATCATCTAGGTATACACGTCAAAAAAAGTTTGTGATCACTAGGAAAAGCTGATATATTTTGAAAATTTAAATTTAACAAGAAAAGTGTTTACGTCATATCTTTTTATAAATAGAAATCTTTGTAAAAATAGAAAAATTATATGCAATATTGAATGTTATTTGTATAACTTCACAACGCATAATGTTATCAGTTCGTTTAGGGATTCTTTTTAAATTGTTTTCAGAGTATCAGCAATATAGTTTTTCCTTGTTCTTCTTAATTAATATCCTGTAAAGTTCCACTACTGGCCATAGGCATCACCCAAGATGGAGAATTTAGGCCGCCGCTCGAGAATCTTTTTTCCCCATCGTTTGTCGATTCTTCAAACTATATGGCCGGCGCATTTTCACTTAAGCTTACTAATGGCTAGGTCGGTCACTCTGGTTCTACTGCTGATATCCTCATTTCTAAGTTTATTACGCAGAAAAACTCCGAGCATAACCTCGCTCATACATAGCTCATAGCTACATACATACCCCGAACAAAGCTCGAGCTTCCTCATACGGCCAGCAGTTTGAGTTCCATATCTCATCACTGGCAGCACGCACTGGTTGTACGTTGTAGTTTTTAAGTTTTGAGGTATACCTGACGAGAAGATAAGCCGTAATTTCTTATGGACTATTTATTCCAGGTAAACATACTCGTCAACAACTTCGAGCTTAGTGTCCCCAACTATTACCGGCATAGGTGTGACATGGACGTTACACCTGACTTTTGTTTTGTCCATGTTCATCTTAGGACCTATCCGTTGGGAGACACTATTGAGGTCATTGAGCATAGTGCTTAGGTCCTCTAGCGATTCTGCCATAAGGACTATATCGTCGGCAAATCGAAGGTGAGTGATATACTCGCCATTAACGTTAATACCGTATCCTTTCCAGTCCAGTAGCTTGAAAACGTCTTCCAATGCAGCGTGGTCTATGGTGTAGTCCTACTGGATTACACTACAGACCACATGCATACCCCCCATTTACCACTTTGTCTTGCGTATGTGGACTATGAGAAAGTCTTTGATTCCGTTGAAATTTGGGCGGTGCTGCAGTCCCTTCAGCGGTGCCAAGTTTACTGACGGAATATCGAAGTGCTGAAGTATTTGCATAGTAGGCTACGATGGCTATCCGAGTACAGAACCAGAGTAAGAAACCTATTCAACAGCAGAGAGGTGTAAGACAGGGTGAGGTTTTATATCTGAAACCGCTCCATTGGAAGAATGCTCATTTAAAGCATTTTATGCTGATCTGGCAGACAAGTGTGAATTTATTACGGCCGATTTTAGTATTTTTCTCATAGTTTTTGTGCTTAGTGTAATCTCTCAAAATTCTTGGAGCTTCGTTCTTACATCAGAAGATGTTAAGGTCCGGTTTATAAGCACGCTGGCGACGATGAACCGGTTATCTCATCTCTGGCCACAGTTTTCCGTTTACGTCCTTGTCCTGCGAGTCTCTTATACTGTCAGGTCTTAGCAACTCGGTGTACCACAGGTCTCGATACTCGTAATGTTTAGGCCACATAGTTTATAGGTGTGCCCAGTTTCAATTAGAGTAACAGTCCTAGTAACTTAAGTGGCGTTTGTTGTTTGCATTCTCAGTTTATTTGCAGTAACAATGCATACTTATCACGATAGACAAGGCAGTCAAGGCAAAAATTTTATGAAAACCTAAATTTAAACTCAAATTCAAAGTTGGCATATTTTTTGTACAGTAGGTATGGAATAACGTAATATTACGAATAATTATATAAAAACGAATGAAATAAAAAAAACATTTCAAAACTTTGGTTTTTTAAAAGCATTTACTAATGTCCTGGCCTCTACATACGACAATTACAACAGGAGAAATGAAACCTTTTTACAAAAAAATTAGTTGTATAATAATTAGAACTCGGTAACAGGCGGGCGTGAATGAAATATGTGATGAGAGAATGAGGACGAAGTAGAAGTTATAATCAAGTAGACGGGCCGCGCTTTGGAAGCTTTCTATTTTATGCAAGTCGGTACTTACTTAAGTTTTTGAAACGAAGTTCCTTATCGGACGGTACGAAATTGGCGGATGGGGGTTAGGCGAGAAAAAGTGTAAGATTTTTCCGTCACGACTCCTTCTGACGTAGTGTAGAGGGCCTTGACAGCTATAAGGAAGCGAGATGGAATAATATCCATCTCCCTCGCGCTTTTTCTTATCTTGCCATGAAAGAAATATTATTTTATTTTAAATGACGCTTCATATTAATAGACGCTAGTAATTCATTTATTTGTATTATTTGATCAATAATATAATTCGTTTATCAATAATAATTTGCTACGAAAGGAACTTCGTTCCAACCGAGTGTTCCACGATACTCACGCATGTTTTTTTATTTAAAAACTTCTGCGCCCGTCCCTTTGTAACCTAGCGACCCTAGACACGTGCCTAGTTTGCCCACTTATCCACCACTGATGATGGGTGTTTAAGCTTATCGCATCTTGATTGTTAAATGAATATACGCTTTCCTTAAAAGATTGTAATGTTATTAAGTGAATACATAGATTAAAAAACATATTGCACTGATTATGTTATCGAAACCTCTTGCAAAATAAAATTATTTTTAGACATTTGCTTTGATTTTTTTTATCTGAACCAAAAACTTTTTAAGATTTGACGTGATTTTAAAGTGGAAGGAGATTTAAAAAATTAATTGATTTGAATACATAAACACTCACGCCTGTCACCCCGACTTTGTCACTATTAATTCTTTCTACTTGGCCAAAGCACCGAAGCATTCCTTTTTTAATCCTGGTCAGAATATCATCTTGCAAACCACACTCTTATCACACAATTTCTCTCCCTGTCATTCATATTCAGCGCTAACATACTCCTTAATGACTAAATAATGCAAATAATTCACATAAAATATTAATAAATACAAATCAGTACCGTATAAAGGGGTGCTACTTTGCTGCTATATATATAGCCCCTGGTTGGTGTGTTCCAATGAAGGATAAATAAATTAATAGTGTATATATTAGTTATGTTGATTGTTAGATGATTGTATATATATATTACGTTAATTAACAAATAATAATAGATCGATGTTACTCTTATGTTGAAGAAAATATTTTCTTCTCTTTATGCGAATTTCAACGTATTGAATGATCACAAATTGCTTGGTATATTTGCTAACATCACGGGCATACAACATATACCATCGAAAAGAGAGGCATTTATATTATTTCGTGTTTATCATGCACGCCGAACGTCCCCGCTGAATGCAAACTTTCTACACCTACACTTGTTTATTTTCTATGGGAAGGGATAATCAAGAGCTTCTCTAAGATACGATCTTTCATACGGAGTCGGAACAGGTCAAGCGAATACGTTTTGTGGTATTAAAACGGCTATGAAAAACTCAGCGAATATTTTTATTCCTTTACAGAGGTTTTTTGAAAAGGCTTTAGCACTATAGTTATAGGCATACACCCTTCGGTAGGTTATACAAAATGCTGAACAATTTAATATTAGTTATGTAGGACGTATGTGGACTATGAGAAAGCCTTCGATTCAATCGAAATTTGGCCACTCCTACAGTCCTTTCAGAGGTAACAGACTGACAGAATATATAGCTTTGTAAAGTAAGGCTACAATGTCTATACGACCAGACTACGAAACCTACCCAACAGCAAAGAGGTCGTTTCATCCCCGAAACTCTCTTTACCGCTGCCTTGTAAGAGGTTGTCAAACTACTAGATTTGAAAGATTCATTATCAACATAAACTTGGTGACACTCCCTTCGGTCTGACAAAAAGAACTCACCTTAGAAAATCCGTCCCATAACGCATCCCTCTATTCTAATCATTTTTTATAGAAAATGTTCAGCTCTCTAACTCTTCACCGCTGCGCGTTAGACATGCGCAATCAAAAAAATTATAAGTTTAAAAAATGTATGTTTAAAAAACTTGTCAAAGCGCATTTCCTTCCTCCTTAAATAGTCATTCCTTTATCTCACCTTGAACTCAAGTCGTTTATTTAAATATTACTACCTATTTTTTCTTTCGTTAAGACTTTTATTTCACTTACTTCTTTACTCCTGTATGCTCTTATATACATATCTATTGCACACCTCATAACGGAAAGCGTTATTAGGTAGTGCTTTACTCTTGAACGGCAAGGTTAAGCAATTTTGTGTTGTTAAAATACCTCTATCATAACCATATTGCGCTTATAACGTAACGTAGTAATATAAAAATCATTTTATATTACTACGTTGACAAAAAAGGGTTTGAAAAAAATTTTAGGTGGATGTCCGGATGATGATTTTGTATGTGGTCATGATAACTCCAGAAAAAATTGACGTATTGAGACCGGGTTTTTTTTAATTAGCTGATTCCTTACTTCATATCAATAGTACGTAAAACGTGTAGTTTGTTGATAAAATGATTTTCAACTGTTATAAATTTT